GAATGGCAGGAAGGGCAGAGGGCTGACCCCAAAGGACCTCGAGCTTCAGGCTTAGTGGGTTTTATCTTGTTTTTCATTCCCGAAGGTGGGTTCTAAACCTTCGGTGCCATGGACCCCTTTCTTCTTTGCCAATCTGGTATCCTCAGAATAATCATAGAACACATAGGCTTACAAAGGAAACCAATCATACACACATATGTATACATATGAAGATTTTGTGATGTACATTTATATTTTTACTTGAGGTTTAATTTACACAGGGTAAAATTCACTTTTTTCCTTGAACAATTCATGAGTTTTGATAAACAAATATTGTCAGGTGAGTACCATGTCCACAATCAAGATACGGAACAGCTCCATCACCCCCAAAAGTTCCCTGGTGCCGCCCCAGCCCTTCTCTCCACCTCTTTACCCCGCCCCCCCGCCCGGCTACTGCTGCTGTGATTTCTGCCCCTATCGCATTGCCTTTTCTAGAATGTCATGTGAATGGAACCACGAAGGCTGGAGCAGTTTGAGTCTGACTTCTCAGGCCCTGCGGTTCCAAAGATTTTTTTTTTTTAAAGTCACTCAGCGTGTTTGATTGTATGGATTCTGCATGCACTGTTTATCCATTCTTTGGGTGCGGTACATTTGGGCTGGGAAACCAGTTATCTTTAATCACAGTTATGAAAAGATTAAAACACAAAATAAAAATATATGTGCTTCTTTATGAATGCATTTCAAATCAAGACCTACCAGCAGCTGTGACTGACGCCTCCTTAATTTCCAAATAGCGATTGACCATACATGATAGTCAGAGACATCTTCAGGTACCTTTTTTTTTTTTTTGGCTGCCGCCATGCAGCATATAGAATCTTAGTTCCCCAACTGGGGATTGAACCCATGCCCCCTGCAGTGGAAGCACGGAGTCTTAACCACTGGACTGCCAGGGAAGTCCCTTCAGCTATCTATTTTCAGATACGATGACAGGGCCCCAGGCACTGCTGATGCCGTTGTGGTGTGTTGCTTTCACGTGTCATTGGTGGTGCTAATAAGGGAAAGTGAAACTGTAATTGTTTCCCATCTAAGTTCATGGACCCCTGGGTTCTATCCAGAGCCTGTCCTTGGACCCCAGGTTAAAACCCCCCAGTCCTAAAGGCAAAGGTTCTGAGCAAGGGCATGCCAGGCTGTGCATATTTAAGAGCTGACCGTGGCCTCCAAGTGGAGAATGGATTGTGGTGCAGGAGTGGAAGCTGGGAGGCCAGTAGGGGGTCATCTGCCATAAGGGGATGGAGGCTGAGACCAGGGTGAGCAGCAGGTGAGCTGAGGGCAGGCCTTGGTGGCAGAGCCAGTGTGAGTTGCTGATGGATAGATGCAGGGAGTGAGGGAGATGGGGGACTGAGGAGGACAGATGAGGACAGACAGACGTGTCTCTGGCTCAAGCAGCTGGGGGCTGAGGGGAGGTGCCCTGGGTGCCCGTAGCTCCACGGGAGTCAGGAGGGCTGACTCTGGAGTCAGCCCTCCAGAGGGCCGCCTGTCTGGGCAATGGCCGTGGCATTTCCTTCTTTCAAGGAAACACAGTTTCATTGTTTATTTTCTCTTCCTGATCTCTAAGTCACATGTAAAACGGAAGTCATAGCTCCGGGTATCAGAAATGAAATAAAATCCCAATCCACCCACCACGGTTGTTCTAATGAAGTTTCCTGAAGACAGGCGTGTGACAGTAGCAGGTTAAGTAAGTTTCCTGATCTGCAAACTGGGGTTGAAAACAGTTGAAAACAGGCTGCACCGAGTCGGTGCGTGTGAATGCCTCCTGTGTGGCTGAGATAAGAGAAGCTCAATAAAGGGGAGCAGTTACCACTGCTGCCCAAGGCACAAGAACCAGTCAGCGTCAGGGCTGGATTTCCTGATCTAAATCAAGGGTTGGCCTGCCACCTGTTTTTGTAAATAAAGTTTTATTGGCACACAGCTGTGTCCACTCTTTCATGTATCGTGTAAGGCTGCTTTCACACTGCAGTGCAGACTTGAGTAGTTGTGAAAGAAACTCCATGGCCCACAAAGCCTAAAATATTTACTCTCCGGTCGTTTAAGAAAAAGTGTGCCGATCTCTGTCATAAACTGAGCTTTCCCCTGACTTTTCCATCCTGTCCTAGGTCTGTACCTGGTCTGTTAGATTCCCACAGCTCTCGAGTTGGATACTGTTGTCATCCCCATTTTGCAGACAAGGCAGCAGAGGCTCAGAGAGGTTTGGTGACTTGTCCAGGGTCACCCAGCAAGGCGAGAGCAGAGCTGGGACTGGAGCCAGGTCCTTCCCAGGCTGTTCCCAGTGCTTCCCACTGGCCAGACAGCAGCCCTCCTCCAGGCCTTGCATCTGCCAGGCTCTGGACTGTGGGAGCCTTGGGAGCCTGGCCTTCTCCTGACGACTCCTGTTGTATGCTTTTCTCTTCCAGCTGCTTGCTACCTTTTTAATTCAGATCGAGAGAAGGAGGGGAGTTCAGTCCTCAGGGATCATGCTCACTTTCTGGCTTATAGCCCTACTGTGTGCCCTGGCCATCCTGAGATCCAAAATCATGACTGCCTTAAAAGAGGTAAGTGGTGGCCTCATTTTGCGTCTTCTGTCAGCATCTCCTGGAAGATGCTTGTTCCTTCTGGCTTTTGTGGAAACCATGCGTTTCCATGGGAACCAGAGGATGGCTACTGCATGGGCCCAGCTTCTTTCCTGAGGATTTCCCTCGCCTGTGCAACCTTTGTTCTAGAACCTTCTTTCCTCAGGGCCCCATGTGTCTGTGTAGCTCTCAGGCAGGAGCTACGGGCAGATGCACATCACCCTCTGAGCCTCTGTCAGCGGTAACAGCCAGGCAGGTTGGCTCTCAGTGTCTATTGTCTGGAACATAGCAGAGCAGGGAGCAATGTTTGCAGGGTGATGGCTTGGGGACCCTAGACTCGTCTCCACTTTGCCTTGGTGCTGCTCTGGCTGGGAAGTGGCTCTCGTTGGCTGCCATCCGCTGCTCTTAGGGATTCTGAAGAGCGTGCTCTTTCAGACTGTCACGTGGTTCCCTGTCACCTTCAGGCTAATCAGGAACTGGCATCAGGCAAAGGAAGGAAGAGTAACTGAATGTTTGTTGAGCACCTGCAGTGTACATTTCAGGCAGTCTTTAATAGTGATGGCAGCTGACATTTATTGAGTTGGTGTTTACAAAGTGCCAGGCCGGGGACTGAGTCGTTTCCATGAATAAACTTACTGACTTCTCACAATTACCCTGACAGGGTCTCTCAGCTTCAGCACTAATTGACATTTGGGGCCCAAGACATCTTTGTTTTGTGGGACTGTCCTGTGCTTGTCGGATGTTCGGGGCAGTGCCAGTAGCCTCCCACTCCTGAACAGAAGTGTCTCTAGACACTGCCAGATGTTCCCCGGGAGGCAAAATCATGCCCACTTGAGAACCACTGGTCTGTCTGTAGATGGGGAAACTGAGGCACAGAGAGGTTAAGTCCCACGGCCAGAATGAGCAGAGTCAGGCCTTGAAGGTAGGTCTGTTCTACTCCCAAGCCTGGGGCTCCTCCCCCGTGTCGGCTGCCTGGACCAGGCAGTGTGGACCATGCTGTGACGTAAGTGCTTGTCTTCTGTTATCTTGCAGCGGGTAGGGTCAGGGTGGGAAAGCTTGCCGTCAGGCCTGCAGGCTGAGAGAGTGGACCTTCTGCTGTCTGCTCCCCCGGCCTCTGCAGGTTGCTTCCAGAAAGTGATCTTTTCTTCCTCCTTCCCTCCCTCTTGTTCAGGATGCCCAAGTCGACGTCTTTCGCGATGTCACTTTCTACATTTACTTTTCCCTCGTGCTGATCCAGCTTGTGTTGTCCTGCTTCTCAGACCGCTCACCCCTGTTCTCCGAAACCATCCACGATCCCGTAAGTGTGATCACAGATGAGCACAGAGACATGTGTGTGTGCATGTGCGTGTGCAAGAGAGAATACACAGTGCCAGCTAACATTGATTTGAGCCAGTATCGTCCATCCAGGAGCTCCTTCTGTCTTCCCTGAACACCTGGCGATACGTAACATTATCCTCTCCACTTTACCGTTGGAAAAACTGAGCCGTAGACGTGGCTCGGGGGATTTAAGGAGGGAATCTGATTCACAGTTGTTAACTGCTATGGTTTCCATCCCGTTGTCTCATTTGGTTGGCGTAGTGGTTTTAGACAGTGCGAGTGAACTTTTAAAAATCAGGAAATTTCATATAAGTTCAAACTGTCCAGATTTTTTAGAAAAATGAGTAGTTCTGGCAGCAGTAGGGCTGTTATCCCACAGCTGGCAGCTGTTGGCCAGATTTGAGGAGCATTGCCCTGGTTTCCTTCCGCAGTCCTCACCACTCCCTGCTTCATTAGACAGTCTTGCTTCCCTCACCTATGTACGTGCCTGGCCCCTGGGGGGTTTGAGTTTGAGATCCTGGGTCTCTTCCATCCACTTGAGGGAAATCCTGCTTGTGTAGAAGGATCTGAGTGGGCCGGGTGGGGATGGCCGCCCTTCTGCTGGTAGCAGGAAAGTGAACATGGTTATTTATCACCCTTGCCTGTCTTCTTTCTCCCTCTCTGCCTCCGTCCATCCTCTTTGCCTTCCTCATTCCTCCCCTTTCTTCCCTCCCTCCTTCTGTCTAGTGCCGAGTGCCAGGCCCCAATCTGGACACAGGGCTGTAGCAGTGAATAAAGCAGAGTTATTGCCACTTGAGGTTTATGTTTTCACGGGCAGGGGCACAAACAGTAACCCAGGAGCCAAGTATATATCCTATCAGTCAGGTGGTGGTAAAGGCTGGGAAGAAGAAAGCGGGGAAAGGAGGTAGAGATGATGGTTTGGGGTCATGAGTGGTTTTGATAAAAGCCATCAGGGAAGCCCGCCCCCACTCCCCCGGCTCCAGGAAACCTCATTGGAGCAGAGACCTGAAGGAGTGAGGGAGCCAGGCAAGCAGATACCCAGGAAAAGGGGTTCCAGGCAGAGGAGTGGCAAGTGCAAAGACCCTGGGGCAGAGCTGCCGTGAATGTTGCCGGAACAGCAGGAAAGGCTAGTGCGGCTGGAGAAGCGAGAGGCAGGAGGGGGCTGAGGGATGGCCTCTGAGAGCTGGGACAGTCACCTATGGGCCGGGTGGGCCGTTTGGATTTTATTCTGAGAGGGATGGGAAGCCTTTGGAGCGTTCATTTGATGCTTTGTTCATGGTTAGTCAGCTGCTAATGGATGAAATTGCAGTGGGAGCAGTTTTCAGCTGTGCTTCTGCTGGGTTTGGCCTGAACCTCAGCAAAAGGCTGAGGCTGCTTTTGTGGGTGATGAAAGGATCTGTGGGGCATCAGCCTGGAGGAGGTGACAGATGCTCCCAGTGTAAGTAAGCTTCAGAAACCCGTGCCCTAGAGTGTGTTTGGAGAGACCCCATTTTCTCATCTCCCTGCTCTGGGAGGAGCTGGGTTGGAGAAGTTAGAAAAATGTGTATGTGTGTCTGTGAATGTGTGTAGTATATATGTGTGTTTGTGCACACAGGTGTGTGTGCATGTGGTGTGTGTAATGCATGCACATATATTTATGTTTACATGTTTTGCATGTAGATGTGTTATGAGTGTGTGCATGTGTGTGTTTTTGTGTGTTCATGTGAGTGTGTTTTGCATGTGTATAAAGTTCACAAGGGCAGCAGCCATGCGTGAGCCCCCCGGGGAACCAGCCCCCGGCTGGCACAGAGGAGGAGCTAAGATGTCTCCGGCCCTCATGTCTGCTGTTCATAGGTGTTTGTGTGCACGGGTGTGGGTGTGTGACAGTGGAGTGTCGCCATCAGAAACATTAGGTGTCAGGCTGTTCTGTGGAGAAGGGGATCGCACTGAACAAGTCATACCCCCCTGAGTGACTGCAGACCCTGGGGTGCTCTGGGGGTAAACCGAGCCCGGGGGAGGCAGACAGGCCCACATGGGGATCTCCTGACTCTTCAGGCTCCCTGTGGGGCCTGAGAAGCAGCCTCTCCCACTGGACTGTCCCTGATGCTTTATGGGGACTTTCTGATTTCTGGTCCCCTCTGGGATCTGGATAGAATTCCTGTCTCTTCTCTCCTGGGTGTGTGTGCCTCGGGGTGTCTCCAAGAGCTGCCTTCCTCCTCCCATTGTGCTTCCTGCAGTTCTGGGGTGTGGGGCCTTCTCTGCCCAGGTACCCCGATGCTTCTCCCAGCTGTTCTTTTTCTCTTGTGGGAATCGAGGCTCAGAGAGGTTGTCTTGACTTACAGCCTGAATCTGATGATGGAGAACATGGTAATGGAAGGAGAGCCTCATTTTGGAGTCAGGCGGACCCTGGGCTTTAATTTCACCTGCGTCCCATTTATTCTTCCAATAGATATTTATTAAGCACCATTTTTATACTGCGCTTCGTTCTGGGTACACAGCAGTATGTGAAAAAGTGTGGTCCATGCCCTGCTACGCTTATCTGTTTGTTACTCCATAACAAACCACCCTGGATTTAGTGACATAAAACCGCAACAGTACTTTGTTATGTTTCACAGGCCCGGGTGCTGGCTGGGCTCAGCTGGGTGGTTTTCGCTCAGGGTCCTTGCTCACGTGTCGGGTGGTTAGCGCGTTGGCCTCTGGCTGGAGCCTCAGCCAGGGTTGACAGCCCCACCTGGTCTCCCCGTGCTGCCTGGGCTTCCTCACAGCGTGACGGCTGGTCTCTAAGAGTGAGTGCGCATGAGGTGGAAGCTGTGTCACCTTTTAGGACCCAGTCCCGGAGTCACATAGAGTCACTCCTGCCATCCTCTTCTGATTGAGGGAACCACGAACGTCTTCTGGGTGCGAGGGGTGGGCGCACACAGGCCCCCACCCTAGATGGGGGAGCGGCCAGGTCTCATTGTAAGAAGAGCATGTGAGATGGCAGGTGATCCCTGGCCAACTTTGGAAAATACCATCTTCTGCATGCCCCCAGGAAGCTATCGTCCTGTTAAGCAGGTCAGCAGACTGTGTGACTACAGCTGAGATGAAGGCTGGGAATCAGGTTATGTGACTTTTGGATCTGACTTTGGGCAAGTCGCTCCTCCTTTCAAGACCTCACTGTCCTGTTCTTGAAAATGGGCTGAGGCTCGATTTGATGCTGGCTGCACCCGCCTCCCTGCCCGGGAACTGAGGCCTGTGATCTGGGGAGGAGGACACTGCTCGGTGTCACCTCTACTGTCTCCCGGTCACCCTCAGGGCTCACATCACAGTGGAGCCTGGAAGAGGGGGTGAGTCCAGTCCCTGTCGCTGTCCCACCCTCAGAGCAGCAGTCACATGTCACCTGTCCTCAGAGAGAGCAGTCAGCCAAGCCCAGGGTCAGGCGGGGCCGGCGTGGGGGCCGGCAGTGCTGACCTCCGCCCTGCTGAGCCACCAAGCTGTCGCCCTCCCCAGCTGGCCCCGCCTGATGTATGACTCAGAGCTGTGTCCTGGCCCTGCTTCCTGGCAGGGCTGCTCCCCGCTGTGCATCATGTGGGGCCTGGCTGAGTAGGCCTCTCAGGCTTTCTGAGGCTGTCACCTGTCCCCAGCCTCTAGTCCTTTTATCTTGCTGGCCCTGAGGCTACTGCTTAGGATGCAGGGAGGGGTTGCCATTGGCAGTTGGGGGCATCAGGGGCAGATGTGGCAGATAGTAGACCCTCAGTTCTCAAAGTGTGGTCCTCAGACCGGCAGCATCAGCATCCCTCAGGTGCCCATTAGAAATGCAGAGTTTCAGGCCTGCCAAGTCCTGTTGAGTCAGGGTCTCATTTTCACAAGATCCCTGGGTGGTTCATGGTTGAAAAGCACTGGTTTAGCAAATTCTTAAAAGTTGCTCAGCTCATTTGGTGTAAGAGGTATTTTTAATCCTGTTCATATTTTACTGCGAACATTTCAAATCTACAAAGTTGAAAGACACAGCGAGTACTCCCCATCTACCCACCAACTATATTTTACAAGTTAACATTTTGCTAAATTTGCTTTATCACAAATCTATCTAGTCAGCCAGCTGGCTAAGATTTTTGGTATTCAAAAGTGACCTTGAAATACATTAGTATCCTTCATTCACACACTTCACTGTGCAAATCATTAGCCAGAGCTCAATATCTCTTTATGGTTCTTTTTTTTTTTTTTTAAGTAAATTTACATAGTGACATTCCTGAATCTTAAGTTACCATTTGATGAGTTCTGACAAATGAGTAACTCAAACCCCTATTGAGATACAGAACATTCCCAGGACCCTAGAAAGTCCCCTCCTGCCCCTTCATGGTCAATCTCTACCCCTTGCAGCCCAGAGGCAACTGCTGGGCCTAGACTGTTAATGAGAGCATTGAAAACTCCATTTTTTTTTTTTTTTTTTTTTGCTGTACGCGGGCCTCTCACTGTTGTGGCCTCTCCCGTTGCAGAGCACAGGCTCCGGACGCGCAGGCTCAGCGGCCATGGCTCACGGGCCCAGCCGCTCCGCGGCACGTGGGATCTTCCTGGACCGGGGCACGAACCCATATCCCCTGCATTGGCAGGCGGACTCTTAACCACTGCGCCACCAGGGAAGCCTGAAAACTCCATTTTTAATTCCTTTCTTCGTTATGCTTTCTGCCATTTAGTATTAGGTGTTGTGCCGGGGGCTCCGCTGGGCTCGGAGTACCTAGAAACGAACCGACATTGACCACCCCTTAGGAAAGATGGAGGAGGCGGCGGGCAAATAGGCTGCTGCTGTGGGATGGACAGTGGGGTTCCAAGACAGGGGAGTGCTGGGGGCTGCAGGTGCCCGAGGAGCAGTCCTGCACTCAGCCTGGGGTGCCAGAGCCAGCATCCGGACGAGGGGATGCCTCCATCCCCTCCCGTAAGGTCGAAGGCTGGAGGGGGGATGGGAAGGTGCTCCTGGTGGTGGAAGCAGCATGTCCAGAGGTCCAGCGGTATATGATGGAACTT